AAAACTTAACGTTGATAGCTAACAAACATCAACATTAATTACAAATAAAGAGCGATATTAGTTTGCATCTTGTTGACACTGACAAATTTACCTCACTGACCATTCACGCAAGTCCCTTTAAAACCCTTCACTGACGGCTGTGTAAAGGTGGGTTTCTATTTGTGGCACTAAGATGTCTCATTTAATTATTTTACATTTATTTTGTAAAGCAGTTTCTGAGATGTGTTTTTTCATGTTTTTCATGTCCCTGCCAATATGAAATATTCGAAATACATGATTTGTTTCCTGGATATCAACAATAAGCAATGATAAAGTTACGAAGCACAGTAAAATGAACTGGAATTGATCCAGTACAGAATTGGGAAAAAGATGCGCATAACATGGATTTGTGGGCCGACATCCACTTTACACCACACTCTGGGACAAAATCTGGACCAACTGCCCTGATTGAGTAGACGACTTCTGAAAATACAAGAACAAACAGTGGACTTGTGGTGCTCATCTCCCACAACTTCTCAAAACGGAGAAGGAAGCTGTCCCCCGGAACTTCGGGATTGCAAGGAAATAACTTTGCACTTCTTTTCCTCTACAGTAATCCTCCATTAATCAGGCTGGTCTAAATTTCAAACTGCTACAGATGGTAATGACCAAGTGAAATATGGACGGACTTTCCAAAATATACAAGAGAAAGGTTTAACTGCAGAATGTTGCCCTCACCGTCGTCATCTTCCAGACTCCACTTCTTGCCCTGCTTCATCTCCTCCAGCTCCTTCTTCAGCTCCCCGATGTTCTCCATCGCCTTCTTCCGCTGCTCCTCCCTCCACTTCTCCACCCGCTCCTTCCTCTTCCTCATCTCCTCCTCCAGCTTGTTCTGATCGAAGTCTTGCTACAGGAAACAAAGAACACAAACCGCTTTCTTCTGCCACCTTTTCCTGGCGGTAACAATGTGTCCATCTGCACCTGCTGTCGGCCATTAAGCTTCTACTACCTCTGAAGAGTACAGGTCCATCAAGGACCCGGAAATTTCGTACTGCGTAGCAAGTCGCCGCTAGTGACCTTACACACAAAGGCATGGAACAGCAGGACAGTGGGTTTCAGACAGATGTAGCCATTTTTTCCCACTAAAGGAAAGGCAAACTGTCCCATTTCTGCTGTGATCTGAGCTGTAGACACGTGATGTTTCTCAATACTAAGAATGCAAAGATCGTACTTGTGGTCTTGGCAAGAGCGGTCTTGCTAACTTGCCTTCCAAGAACGAGCTTGGGGCTCAATGAATTATGGGATTGGTCTCATTCAGCAAGGATGCAACCGATGCATCCTTGATATTTGGGGCAGGGAAAGAACAACATCTGGGGATTTCTACAGTCCTCTGTACTTCTGTTCTTGAGTATTGGAACTGGTCTTTGGCAATAAAATGGGTACACAAGTACGCAAATTGAGAAACACCCATGTGGTCAGCAAGGGTCCTTTATAAACGACATGCCCAACATGGTGGGGTATCAGACTATTTTAAGGGGAAGGTGCCCTAGTTGGGTGGGGCACTCACATCCTCGACTTTTTCTTCCTCTTTCTCCTCTTTTATTTTCTTCTTTTCTACCGATTGCTCTGTGGTGTCTGACTTCTCTTTACTCTTTGATCTGTTCCAGGAAAAAAAATAATCTGCATTAATAAAAATGACATTTACATATAAAATTATTACAAGAAAAACAGCGTAAACAAGATTTGTAAAGCTTATTCAATTCAATTCCATATACCGCATTTTCACAACATTACATTCAGAGAATGCCCGCCCAAAACCCCCCGTGAGGGAACAACTCCCTAGATTCCTAAAAGGAAGAAACCTTGGGAGGAACCAGACTCATAGGAGACAGGGGAATTCGAATAAGATTGTAAAATCCTAATGTTTATCATACTTTACTTTCCAAATGCGTGCAACAGACAAGTTAGAAACATTATGTCTCAGGAGATCCCCTGCTATATTAAATTGCTCAGAGAGACACACATACACTCTTTATAAAACCCATCAGATTACGGCAAAGTCAAACATCTTACCTGTTGTCACTCTTCCTGCTCCGAGTAGGGGTTGCAGACCGCGACCTACGACCCCGGCCCCTGCTGGTAGACCGCCTGCGTTCACGACTTCGAGACCGCCGTCTCTCTCGGCTCCTGGAGCGCCTGGAACAGAAAAAGCAGCATTCCTGGACATCTGCACTAAGTTTAATGATTAAGCATTGGGGTCAAGCGAAATCCTGATGCTTCTCCAAACTACACAAGTTAGTAGTAACAAGGATTACTTCTACAATAGAGCATCACCCATTCCCTTTTTTGGATGGCTTACCTAGGACGCTTCCTGTCCCTGGAGCGTGAGCGGCGCCGGTCCCTACTCCGGGACCGATCCCGGCGACTTCGGTCCCGTTCGCGGTTGCGAGAGCTGCCGCGGTCATCACGCTTGGATCGCTTGTCCGGAGAGCGGCTTTTCGATCGGCTTCCCGAGCGGCCCCGCGAGGCTGACCGTTTCCGGTAATGCCTGAAAAACGGGACTGCACTTTTACGCCGGTTACACAAAAACGATCTGGCATCTGACGAACGAAAAATCAAAATGCTGACTATGTAAAAAGCTTGAGTCAAATACTGCATGTAAATCAAGTAATTGGATTATGTTTTAAAAAAGTTAAACTTATCTGTTTACATACGATGTGCCGCATGTAAACATTGATGTATCTGCATTGTGTTATGTTTCCATTGCATTATAAGACATATGATGCAGCCCAAAACGCGATGCCCCATATGGGCGGCATTTATGCCATCACGTCTTTTTTTCCCCCAAACTGAACAAGGAGCAGTTACTTCAGTGTCTACTCCAATTGTGTCACAACCCCTGAAGAATTAAAATCAGACGTATACAGAAGTACCAGGTCAACGTAACTTAAACCCATAGAAATGGGAGCGCACACGTCCAATGTGTGGAAACACGCTGTTAGCAAGCCCGCTAGTTTTATAACGCGATTAGCATGTTTACACCTCGACAAACATATATGGCGATAATACTGACAACTTTGTCCATTCACACAGCGGTAATTTAGACAGCTAGCAATGAAACTTTCCTCAATGCGTGGCCTAAATAAAGTCTTATCTAAAAGCTAGCCAATTAGCTTCTCAAAAAACAGCAAAAATACTGCGGCTAATTTCCCCCACTAGATTATAATCCACCCAACTCACCTCGATTCCCGTCCCATGTTTGTTCTGTATTCTCAAAGAGATTCCGTGTTTTGATTTTATTGTGCTTACTTGTAGCGATTATTATGTATTTTAGATGCAATGTGGGATGCGTACGACGTAATAAGGAGGCGACCTTCCGACCTTAGTTGTCGATTATTACAGCGCCTCTGGTGGTGGGAGGCCGAAAACACGAAACTTGTTTTGTATTCTTTCATATTGTCATACTTAGTGTGGCTATATTGCCGACAAAATTAACCATTATAAAGAAATATACCCCTGCACCATCCAGGGTGAGGCTATCTCTTAGGGCAAATGACAAGGAAACACCCTTGACAAGAGGTCAGTTCATTACAGGGCAAACATATATACACTGACGTGTAATGTGGAATAAAATTAACAAGGAAATATTCCCTGCCTGCCAATCAACCCATTCTACTAATGTTTAACTATTAGTCAAGTCATAATAACAGCTTCACAAGATCATGTGCCACATTTGGTTTAAAGTCCACCTAAGCACATCTATGCCTCTTAGATCAGTTAGATTCTGCTGGGAGTTGACCACAGTTGCCCTTTAGCTCAAAAAAACACTTATATAAGAATGTGAGGATGTTGTCATTGTTTGTATGAGTAATTTATAGAATTACACGCCCCTGTGTTTTCTGAGGCAGAACAAATGTGTGTTCTTTTCATCTGGAAGGTAATTCATTTTCTATGTCACCATGGCTCATTTTCTATAGACAGACACTTCATCACTGGGCCCAATATGGATGACAAGGTGTTAGGAATCCAATCATTGTCATGTTATTCTGTCATTTATTTAACTGCCAATAGGGTGTGATTGTGCAAGTCTGTGACCAAGAGATGAACTGGAATCTCATCTACCGCGAATCCCTTCATCAGACGTGTTGCTTCTTACAGGCCCAGTGCCCACCAATCAGCTGGTATCCCATAGATATAATACAAAATATTCTTAGCACATCAGGGCCCTGTACTTATCAGAAGGTTGTTGGTTCAAATCCCAAGGTCAGCAAAATTATTTCATTAAGTCTTTGAGCAAGGTCTGTCATAACCAAATGCTCCAGTGATTGTATGACCCTGCTTTCTCAAAAAGAAAAAAGTTGTATGCTAGATTAAAAAAAAGAATTATCATTTAACTCAATGGTAACTTGGTACTAGTGGAAATGAAGAAGGACGACTGAAGACTTGTGTGTTTTTAACTATGGGGCATATTAATAAATTAATGATAGCATTAATTGCAATTACCCCCTCAATGCACTTTAACAGGGGTCAGTGAACAGCTCAAACCACCTCCATTACAGAGTTGGGGGTGGGGGGGGGTGTAACATTTGTGTGTATTGACAGTCCATCAGGTTTGACCATATATTCTCCCCCCCGTTCTCACTTCCAGAGTTGGTCTCTTCCCACAGCCCAAATACATACAGCCCACGTGATCCAGCAGCAGACCTGCCAAGTGATTGCCTCATGGTGGATCAGCTGTGTGTGCTAAGCCTCCCATGGGTCACCAGGGGACCTGACTGCATAAACTGTAATTAAAAACAGATGGATCACTTATAATGAAGTTATGGTGCCCTGGTGCTGGTTGTTGGCTCAGCTGGGCCACAGTTAGATAAATAAACTTGATACAGCATCATTGGCAAAACCATAAATACCACTGCTGACTACTCAGTAAACGTAGGAGATGGACAGACAGAAAAACACACGCAGACACACACTTGTCATGTGACCAGAGTATTTGTTGAAAAATGTACTCAGATCGCCAGTTTTGTGTACAATAAAATTTAATTCTAGGCAGTGATGATGTCCATTTCCATTAGTTAAAACCTCCAGGCATTCGACTGTACAAATCCATTTGTTACAAACACACAGAGGGTTTATTCTGAGAGCTAGTATTTAATTTGTTACAATACACTAACTTTACAAAATGGTCTTTGTTTCACTTACAGTGTACAAACCATGACTGAAGAGGAAACAAAAGTTTGATTTTCAGGTGATTTGTTCTTCTTCCTGTAGAAATATGACAGACAGAAATGTGGGGGGGGCGCACCAAGAGGCCTTGCAAATTGCCACGGATGTCACACACCACCATTCAAACACAGCAATTAGATTCATCCTTAATGATTACAAACACGATTAACTGTTACACGAACAAGGTGGATTAAGCAGGACCTGAAGGAGACCAAGAACCAAAGTCCTTTTCTGAACTTGCAAACAGTGTCGTAAATAAGCGATCGCGATAACGATCCCAATCACTCCATACTTTGTTGGTAATATGTTTTTTTGTGAAAATAATGACAGCATCTTTCCTGCAGTTCCATTTGTCCTCCTCGGGGCTTTATTGAAAAATAAACTGCAACAATGCTTTAATAAAACCATACCACCCCCCCCCCCCCCCCCCGCAGTATCAGATACTCTGAATGACAACCACCCGAAAATGACTACATTCACAGCTAGCTCCTTCATTCAAATCGCAGACACTCGATGACCATCGAAGCGTTTTCAGATATCGGCCAGAAAGACTGACCCAAATCGGCTTTGAGATTACACTGCAAGACAACGGTCTTAACCGGGCCAATTTCCTAAAGGGATCAAGCACTTTAAGATAAAAATAATATTTTAAAGCTGAACTTAGTGTGCAGACAGAACTTAAACATCTCTGCGGCGAACAGGCGAGCCGTCAAACACAATCAGACCTGTAGCAGACGAGACATCACACCCTTCTTAATGTTTAAAGCTGCACCCATTCAGAACTGTCACCCGTTAGATAAGAACAAACAGGCTCACAAACCCCAACCCATTTCCGATTTAGCGCCATTTCACAGTAATACGTTTACGCTAAAATCAACACCATACCGATATAATATAGGTTCTCTTCTCCCCCGATATACAACTTAAAGCATGATTAAAGGTCACGTCTTAATGAGTCCGTGTTAAAAGAATTTACCCATATCCTATTATATTAAAATATTTTATATAGTGTCTGTTTAAACACAATGGTTTACTGTAAAAACTGAATTCCTTTAAATGGTAATTACACAATTAAGTCCAGAAAAAAAAAAAAACACATAAATTAAAAGTAAACAAAAATTTGAAGATGTCTTCAGAGACTCTGAAGTCTCAAAAGCAGAGAAATCTAGTCTGAAGAACAGCACAAGCGTGTGAAATGACAGAATGCTGTTATTCCAAACTATTCCATGTTACTCAGCCAATGTGGCCAGCTGAGATCAGCGGAGTCCTTGCTCGCCCTGCACTTGTAAATATTTGTTCGGCAACCAAAAGGCATCCAATCGGCATTCTTGCAATCTAGAATTAAGAGGTGATGTCATCATTGAGGGGGTTCATTTTTAAAGGGCCAGAAGGTCATTTTTCACCCCACAGGAGCCCAGGATCACTCCCTGCATTATCTCAAAGTGTCAACTACGGTACCCATCACGTTATGAAAAACAGATGGACTCCTCCTGATGAGATGCACGAGCACAACTCTCACCTCCACAGTCACTGTGAGTCAAATCTGATTGGAGATGCCATCTCTGTTAGTTTCTCCTCGACATTAATTAACAAAAAAAAAAACAAAAAAAAAAACACTGAATTTAATTAAATCCACAAAAAAGGTCACGCGTCAGGAAAGGCAAGACAGGCCCATCGACGGAGCCGTTTATTGAAGATACTCGGAAGAAACCAGTCTCCTGGAGGGGCGGTTCTTTGCCATAGTCTCTCCGTCATCCGTTCATCTCTGGCTGCAGCAGAGCCTTGAACCTGGGACTCTACTTGCTGGTCTGCTGCTGCAGATGGAGCAGGTACTCGTAGTAAGACAGCGCAGACTCAGTCCGGTCCTCCACCATGTTTTGCATAAAGGCGGCTTTCAGTGGACTCTCCTCCCTGCGAGAGAATACAGTGTCACCCTCTCCGCTGTCACCCCGTGTGTACAGACGCACTCCGCGTACTCTAGTCACCCCGCCTCTCTGCGGGAGAGCGACGGGAGCTCGAATCCTTCCGTGACGTGATTCGAGCGGCGGATAGCAGCCGGACGGCCTGCGCCACCTACCTGACAATGTGCAGGACAGGAAAGAAGGGTCTCTGCTCCCTAAGCCAGCCCACGAAGGCCCTGGTGCGGACCGACTCGGCAGTGTCCAACTCGGGGAGCTGGTTCTGGGAACGACGGAGACGGGAGCAAGAGGCATCGCTTAGCGACACAGGGGCGAAGTCGACATGGACGTAAATAAGGGCCGGAAACGGCAGACGATATACACGTCTTTACCATGTTCTGAGGCACAGCAGCGTAGCTTGGGACTCCCAGCACTTGAGAGAGGAAGCTGGGATTGCAGTTCCTGCCCATCCAGAGGAGCATCACCTGGAAGTCAGGAAAGAACAAAACCAGCAAGTAAACAAACAGGGAACACCACCCATGACGCCTGGGACGCCCCACTCAGCCCCCGGCGACCGCACCCACCGAGCCGGCGTCCATGAGGAAGGCTCCCTCCCGGTTCAGCTTCTCCACAGACAGCTGCAGCACCTTGGGCTGGGGGACGGTGCGCTCGTTGATGTTCAAGGCGCCCTGATGGGACAGCAAAAAAAAAAAAAAAAAAACAGAAAAGGGACCTGTCAGGGGGGGGCAGCCTCATGACAAATTCAGCATGCCTGGTGGACGGAGGTGGAAAGTTCAGGTTCAGAAAGTACAAATACAGACCAAGGTTTTGTTTCAACCAACCAGTTGAGTACTCTTGTCACCAGAAGCGGGGACTCGAGTCACTGACTCGTGGCTGGACTTGGATTCAAGTCATAAATTTGATGACTTGTGACTCAACTGCAAAACTGATGGAAGCCTTAGACTCGACTTGGACTTGAGGGCAAACGACTCAAGACTTCTTGGAGCCGCCTTGGACCCTATGACTCGAGAAGACTTGAGGTTATTGTTCCCCCTCCGTAACGTTATTTTTTTTATTTCAATGTATATTAATTCTCTGCTGTCTGCATTTTCAATGAGCTGAATGCGAGGTCTCCCAAGATGGTTTGTTGGAAAGATGCACCACTCTCTACATATACACGGACGTAAAAAGTGCATGAGGACAACTGTGAGTGGATACTGTTTTTAGCTCCTCTCTGCCTATAAAGAACTGCAGCAAAAGTTTTAATCACTAAAGGTACAAAAAAAAAAAACGACAGATCGGGATTCAAGGTACATGACTCACGACTCAACTTGGACTTGAGGGCAAACAACTCAAGACTTGACTAAGACTCGCGGTCTGTTACAAATCGGAATTGTCTGCTGTCTATTTATCGTCCTGTCTATTGTAGTTTGTATTGTATTGTTTTTTTGATTCTGTTACTGTGTCTTTTGTTGGTATAAATCCTGCCAACTGCCTTGTGCAACTGGCCAAACCATACGAAGCTTACATCTCTGCACTGCTATTGCTGCACTATTTATTAACTGCCTGTCTGCACATTGCACGCCCTGTTACTGTGATGTTAATTATACTATATGTTACTATATGTTACTATATGTTACTATATGTTGCACCGGGGCCATGGAGAAATGTTGTTTCATCACTCTTTGTACATGTATGAAGCTGCTGATGACGATAAAGTAACCTTGAACCTTGAAGGAATGACTTGCTCCCATCCCTGTCTGTCACTGTGACTCTTCATACTCAACTGGTTGGTCGAAACAAAAACCATGGTCTGGATTTGTACTTTCTGGACTTGAACTGAACATCTCTGCTGGTGGAAAAGGTGCCCTGTCCCCATCGCCTCACCTCATCAGTCAGATCGTCCACTCTGTAGAGGGCCGGGTGGATCATGAGCACGAGGTACGAGAGCGGCTGGTACTTCAGCTGGAACATGGCAAACACGCGGTCGTCCAGCCGGGTGCTGGTGCCCGTCCGGAAGGCTTTCTGCAACCAAGAAAGCAGGGCTTGAGGACTGCGGGAGGAGAGTCGAGACAGATGGTCGCAGGTTTAGGGGAGGCGGCTACCTGCTTGAGCAGGGCCAGGATGTAGAGGGGGAAGAGGCGCAGGCAGCTGGGTGCCAGGAGGCCAGGCTGCTGGATGGTGAGCACCGAGGAGCGGTATGCCGTCAGGGAGTCCACGGCCGCGTTGGTCAGGGCGTCGCGCGCGTCGCTCAAGCTCGCCGACACAGAGCGGTCCACGGCTGGGGGCAGACATGGGATGGAACGTGCCAGGAGGTCATCTCGAGAGTTAAGAAAAACTGCACAGCCAAGCCTCCGTTTCCATTTCTACCAGTAACCAGTAGTGAACCGGCTCTCACCCATGCTAGCCAGCAAGCCGGTGATAGCCTGGACGTCCGCTCCCGCAAAGATGTCCGCCATGGAGTTGACGACGGGAAGACACATGGTATGGACCCGAATCCGCCGCTCTCCTGGAAACAAGCGCACGCGTGTAAGAGTCACATGAGAGTCACACGCAAGTGACACACGTCCCCCCTGAAGACCGACGCCTCTCTCTCTCTACCTTTGCTGGACGTGTAGAGAAGAGCAGCCTGGAAGGACACCGCCTGCAGGTCCATCAGGTTCTCCTCGATAGACATCTGCACGGCAAAGCCCGCGTCCGGGTTCACGTTGGGCAGCGACAGTAGGTCGGTGGACCGCACGAAGAAGTTCCCGTGGAAGGTGTGTATGGACAGCCCTAGGAGGGGGATTTGGACAGATTTAGGGTCAATGTTCTCAATACTGTAAACTTATGCCTGTTGAGTTCTACAAATCCAAATTGCCACATCATTTGCAGAACCTCAAACACAACAGGAATCTCAACAGCAAGGAGAAAACTACTCAAAGATCACTGCTGAAAATGAGTAGGAAGGTCCTGGAGTTCACCTTTGGTGCAACGTATCCTCATGACTGCCTCAAAGCCGATCTTCCTGGTGAGGTATCTCTTCAGGTCCTTCTGGAAACGCTCCACCTCAGCTAGGTTGTGCTGATGGTGGTAGGAGGGGTAGTAGTAGACGCTTCCTGCTGAGTACCTGGATATGCAACCTACGACGAACCAGAGGAGAAGATCACGAGTCAAGCTGAGACTCACCACGACCAGCCTGCCAAGGTGGGTGGAGGAGGCGGAGATGATACTCACCCAGGGACGCCAAATCACAGTACTGCCCGCTCAGAAGGAACAGATCCACAGCCACCTGCTGTCCCGAACAGTCGAGCGCCAGCTTCTTATAGAAATCAGTGGCAGGAGACAGATGCTGGATGTCCTGGTGAGAGGAACAGAGGAAACAAGCCCACCAGTGTTAGCCTTCCACACACACGGTTCACAGGCAGCCTTGGCGAAGGGGGACCTGCTAACGACTTCTGTACCAACCCAGCACGCTAATCACACAGATAAACAACTGACAGCATCTTAGGAATCTAATTAAATTTCATTAATAAAAATGTCTATTCCAAAATGGATGCAGGGTGCTATGGTAACAGCTATTTTTAAGCTTTTAATCAACATTAACATTTCACAATTACAAATTTCATACATCTACTCTGCAACGCTCCCAGACACACACACAAGCCTGGACCAGACCTTCAGAGATGCCCTTTGATTGGGGTCCTCCCTGGATTTAAGAGCCCCTACGCCGAGCGTGGGCAGCTGGGTCTGGAAGATGGACGCCCGGCCCCCAGTGGGGGACAGCAGCTTGAACGCAGCCTGCAGGGCCGGGCCCAGCGCCGACTGGGTCTCCATGGTCTTGTTGAACATCTGCGGCAAACCCTTCAGCAGGTCCTGCACCAGCTGCGGGGGGGGGACAGCTTTGATCAGGAAGGCTGCCTCCTCGGGGACACACGCAGACGGGCACGACCGCTAACCCACAGTTTCACTGGAACTACAGAAACGGCGTGACACCAAAAAACACGCGTGTTGTTTTCTGCCTAAGAAGCAGCTGCCCTGCATTTCAAGACCAAGCACAATTAAAGGTCAAAACAACTAATCAGACAACAGACAGTTCTCCCAAGAACACAAGGCCACAATTACCTCAATGAAGAGGTTTATACAACTACTATTTTAAACATGTTTCATTGGTGTTAAGGTGGTAATAGCAGAACACCATTTTCTCTCTCTTTCCACACACACACACACACACACACACACTCACCTCCTTGCAGTCATTGAGGTTGACTAAGAGGCTGTCTGGTGTCGGTATGAAAATATCTGCAGGAAACGAGAGACGAGCGGATCAGGTGTGGAGGGCGCTTTCAGACCAGCACTTTGGGGGCACTGTCACCCCCTTAGACCAGTTTCAGTTCATCACCCTCCCCCACTCGCCCCCACCATAATAAACAGAATAATGCAGCCTCACGACCTGCTGTCAAACGAGTACAGAGAAAAGGGGGAGTTAAGTGAGGTCGGCCATCTTTGGAGGAAAATGAAACCGTACTGTATAAAACTGTACAGAAATAAAACGCAGCTTGTCCGTGGAGGAGCACACGAGGTTCAGAGAATACAAACAAAGCTAAAGTGCAGCAGGAACCGTTAGCTGGCTCAGTTCCGGCGTCAGCTCACCATCGATGTCCGAGACGATGAGCATCTGCGGCTGGGACAGGCCCTCCTGCAGGTTGTAGAAGTGGATGGTGCTGTCGAATGTGATGAAGCCGATCTTCGTCCTGGTGTCTCCCGGGAGCCTGCGGTAAGACCACCCACTCGGTCAGCATCCCCACTCCCTCTCGGTCTGACATTCGGTCAGGATTATGAGCCGCCTTCCTGCTCTCAGGCTAGCCGAACGGCAGCAGGGGCACACGTACGAGCTCAAGTTATCCAGCAGCGACTGGCAGACCACGTCCAAGTAGCCCGTCTCCACGGCATTATGGGATACGTCAAGCACGAAAAGGTAGACGGCAGGCTGAGGTGGCCTCAACTGAGGGGGAGAGATGCGAGAAATCAGTCATGCAGAATTCTGTGGGTTCCTGAAAACCAATGACTATGGTATGTATTGCCAAACTTGGGATATTTCACATAAGTCAACTATATCTGTACAACATCTGTGAGAGATCAGAGACACTTGTATGCTTTTTTTGTTTATAGAGGTTTTTTATATATTTGTCTTACCACAGAATACATTTAATAAAGTCAATTATTACTGCGGCTACACGTAAACCAGTTTTGTCTTCAAGAAAACTGACCATAAAGGAAGGAGACGTCAGTTTACCATATATTCTGAGGGTGCGATGAACTCAATAGTGGGATTCTGGACCTCAGGTCTTTTGTGCGGTTCTCCATAAGATCTACTCACTGGGTTGTACATGAACTCTTCAGGAACTGCCCAGAAATGCACCAAAGGGGAAGTAGATTTGCTTTGGTTAAAGACCTAGATTCACAGCCCGACGACTAGCGATCCCACATTGTTAGCGCGAGGCCGCTTGGTCCCTCACCGTCATTGACCCTATAACAGAGGTTGCATTTCCACCGTCTCTGATCCAGGAAGGATACAAAGGGGTTGATGTAGGTTCGGCAAGAGCGACATCTGACGATGGTGCTTGACGTCACGACGGGCAGCTGCTGTAATGGGGAACGGCGGAGATAAAACACAGAGGCCAGCACAAAGTCCCACAAGAAAAACCAGGTTAAACACCGGAGGTCCACCAAGCGGTAGCAGGTCCCGGAACTTACCGAGAGGTCTTTGAAAGGGTGAAGCAGCAGCCCCAGAGGGAGCTTGGCCTTGTTCAACAGCGACTGCGTCTGTGGGATGTTGGCCAGCGTGCTGCGGAACACCCTGCAGGAACGGGAGGGTAAGGGAGGAGGCTGAACGGGAGGAAGCGGGCAGGAAAGCTGGCGGGACAGCCTAGACCTCAAAGCGTCACGGGTCACCAGTTAATCACGTCAGGAGTGACCCCCGCCATTTAAAACATCATCATAGATGTTACCTGGTCTGACGAGACTGTCAGAATTTATCAGGATGGTATGGGGGGGGGGCAAACTTATAAACTGTTGCAGGCGAACAGATGAAAGGACGACGGAGGCATAAGTGGGCCTCATCTCGAACATGAGGGTTGGACTCACTCTGGGTTGCAGTTGAGCTTCTGCAAGTCCTGAGGCAGGCAGGGCGTCGGCGGGGTGACGGGGCCAGGGGGGAGGATGTTCCGCTCCTGCAGGAGGTTCACGGCCCTCAAGGTCTCGGGGGACTGGGACTGCAGGCTCAGCGCAGCCAAGGATGGGCTGAGCTGGGCTGGGTTGGCCTGAGGCTGGGCACAACACAACGGCACTGTTCAACGGCAGTCGTAAAACGAGCACAGGGTGGCACAGGGACTAAACCCCGGAGCGGGGGAGGGGTGGGGGGAGGACACTGTACCTGCTGGTATGGCTGGTGTGCCGGGCTATATGGTGGCTTCGGGGACTGTAAGGGTGAAGCGCTGGGAACCATGTTTGCGTAACCAGGTGGAAGAGAGGGGTATGACTGGCCGGTCGGCCTACCAGCCAACCCAGTCTGAGGAGGAGGAGGCCCCACTAGAAGAGACAGGATGTGCATATAATTTAAGCCTTGCAAGCAGCACTTCCTTAGGGGTAACCCCCGGAATAGATCACACTGGGGATTTCCCCCCTGCCCAGGTCCTTACCCATGCCTTTCGTGCCCATCTCTAAATGATCAAAGCTGTTGATTTGAGAAGCTTCACCAGGCGTAGGCACCTGTCCCGCTCCTTTGAAAATAACGTACAAAGCAAAGAAAATAATTTTTAAAAATCAGCCCTCATGTATAATCCTCAGTTATCCACACACACACACACCAATGGGCACGAATAAAATATTTATCCCAGAACATGACGGGAAATGGAGGATGGCGAGGAAATAAAGGCCACGTTAGTTTAGCTGCCACGAAAGGGCACTGAAACACGTCTATCAGGCTTAAGTTACATGAGCATATGGGGGCGGGAGACCGGAAATGGCGAAAACGTGGGGGCCGGACTGGAGTGAAACACAGATACGACACGGGACGGCAGGCACGACAAAAGAGGGCGACTCCACACCTGGGTGATCAATACCAAACTCCTTGCCCTCGTCATCAGAACGGGATAAGAACGGCTTGTCCGCAACCGCACTATTAGCAATGTTTCCAAAACTAGAGGCTAGCGTGAAAAGGGGTGAAAGATAACAGGGATTTCACTTGTGGGGATTAAATGACGCCATTTTGCATTCGTGTATCAGCGAAATACCTCACAATTACATGACTGAGCAGTTCAAACATTAAAATACATTTACAAAGCTATATTGAAGCTCAAATCATCACAATTTAGGACATTTCCAATAATAACATTTATCATTTTACTGGAAAACCATTATTTCAAGTTACTGTAATATAAACCCCTTTATGAGCATGCGACCAATACAAGATTTGTTTATCAAGCCTAGCCCTTACCTTTATGTTTACCAGCAGGGGGCGCCAGAGGGGAAGCATTTACCCCAGGACCCGTAGGGGGTGGAGTGGGCCTCATGCCTGGGGGGGGGACCATGCCTGGAGGGGGCCCAGTCGCTGTTGGTGGGGGGCCGTAAGGTGATCTCCCAGGGGGGAATGGGTGAGATGCCACAGGATTCACAGGGGGCGGAGCTGGACCAGAACCTGTTACCCGGGATACGGTTTGCTCAGTTTTTATTCATTCATTAAAAAAATAAAATAAAATAAAAAGTTTCCTCACAGCCTATATGCTGACTGCGTAAGAACATACGTGGTAAACCTGAATGACTCATTCTCAAGAGCCTTTCACCCAGCAGCTCCAGGTGACACACCAAAGAACTTCTACGTAACGGGCAACACTGACCTATACTGTCAATGGGGAGGAACCTCATGATACAGATGTGAGAATACCAGACAATGTCAGGAGGCATAGATGCGAGTCAATCCCAAGGGATCCTTCAACGCACAGATGTTTTAAATATTTATTACTTATGCATGGCCTTTGGGTGTCTGTTACACCGAGGGTTAAATACCGCTCTCTGATGGGTCGTTTTTCAGTTCTGCTGGATCATGGCATGACATTTAGGCAACGCTTAAGCTGTGTACCAAGAGGACGCAGGCACTTCTGCGACTGATGGTCCGGTGGTCCCCACATTAGGGATGGGCTGATCCACATTTTTCAGTTCCAATATAATTCCAATACACAACTGCCAATTCGGATACAGAATCCAGCACAAGTGCTTTTTACTTTAATATTTTAAATGATATTATATAAATATTAATACTTTATATATAAACTTTTTAAAAGTAGTAAATCGAAATTAAAGAAAAAAAAAAGTAAAATCTTTAATTAGGCTACTAGAAACATACATAACACAGGCTACTTGCCCACCTGGTTTGTACATCTTGATCTGAATATCCTCTGGAAGAGCATACGCAGGTGGCGAATGCTTAAAATGCCCCACAATTTGTCTCCCAGTGTCACCAGCTATCGCAACACTTTGTTGCAATCGCAGCCCCTTCAGTATCACAAGCTGCAGTAAGGGCATGAAACAGCCCAAGCTAGCGACTCCCAAATCAGCCGCTGCTCTTTTCATATTACTTACGTCGTCTCGCACAATGGAGTGTGCATTGTTTAGTGGCATTTTTGTTTTTACAGACTCCAAATGCCTGTGCTACTATTTGTCGTTAAAAGCGTAAAGTACTTCAAGATCATCACCCTCTTATCTGATGTTCTTACGCTCCTCGTACTCCAAAGCGTATGCATGACATCACAGCAGGCAGAAGTCACTGCGTTCACACCAACTAGATGGCAAAAAGACTGAGAGGCAGCGTTAGCCTTCAGCTTGAATGCCGCAAAAAAAAACAAAAAAAAACATCTAAAATGGGAAAGAGCTGTTGCACGATTGATTTCGTATAAATTGATTTAACAAGAAATAGGAGCTATCTTTTCACGGGGTGTCGAAAACTAAATGAGTATCGGACATGGTTCAGGCACATTTGGAGATATCCGATCTGTCTAATAGGTATGGATCGGTGTCGATGCCAATCCCGATTATCCACATACATAGAGACACCAGAACACAATGCAATTCAGTGCTGCACAAATAATGCCACCGGGTTTCAGACGGCATATTAGGTCACATTAGTCATTTATCCCACCACCCTTCATCAAAGGGAGAAAAAGGACATTTGCAGTCAATCACCAAATGCTCCTGCCATTAGGATTCCGCGGTGAACCAGTCTGAGCTGCTGTGATTGCGTTGCGGCCGCAGATAACGGACTCGCTGAGCCAACCACCCCGAACTATCACTGTCACCCTGATAAGCCTGTAACGTCACAGACGCCTCACACCCAGGGGGGGGCAAAGTCTGCCTCCAACAAAGAACCTGCTGATAACACTCCTTGGTGGTGGGGATCTTCCCGTTTCACAACGCAAGATGACTTATCTTCCCTATTCTACTGGGGAACCAAAAACATAGTCCAACAAGTGGAGAGAATCCACCTTGCAATAAATTTCCTACACTGTATATCACAGTGTCTTATTTGCAGTGCAAGCGCATGTGTTATGACGCTGTAGAGAACATCCCCAGTACCCAGTAAACCATACCCACAGCATTTCCCGACCGTGTTGCTCAATCTTGGAAGAGGGTAAGACGTGAACCTAGACCAAAGTTGGGCGATGTTATCCGCAAAGGGCCAGTGTGTATGTAGGTTTTTGGGATAACCTATACGTCAGTTGTTCAAACCCAGGTATGAGGACTCTTCAGCCAATTAGTCCTCTATTTATTAATCTAATTAGGGAATTGCACTGAAAACCCGCGACACAATGGCCCTATCTGGATAAGACTGCCTACCGCTGACCTAGACTGATGCTAGCAGGACAACTGGATTCCTAATATTTATTCAGCAGGGGCATCATCACCTATGTTAAGGTCACCGAGGCAGTGGAGGAGATCCGGCAACTCACCTTGGTAGGTGTAGCTGGAGGTAGCGCTGGAGGCAGGCAGAGAAACGGGTCCCGGAGGAAGCGAGGCACCGTGGTGGAGGGGGGGTGTGTGACCCGCACCATATGGAGAAGGAGAGTGACGGTTCGGCACAGGGCCGGGGACCGGGGTCACGTGGTTCCCCATGGTGGGGACTGGAGGGCTGCTAACTGAGACCGGGGGTGCCCCGTAAGGCCAAGTCGGCTGTGGGGCATACGGAGCAGCGCTGGGCATTGGAGGTGGGGTGGAGTTCTGCGACTGAGGAGCCATTGGTCCTGCAGGCCTGAAGGGGGCAGGCTGAACAGGTCCCATTGGTGGCCTGGTCAACGAAGCCTGACCTGGGCCTTGGTAGGAGCTGACTGGAGGGGTCATCTGATAGGATCCAGGGTTGTATGGTCCAGGGCCAGTAGACAGAGGCGCCTTGGCTGGCATCTGGTTTGAATACAGAGGCTGAGTCCCAATGTTATATCCAGCGCCTGAAGGCGGCACCAGCAGCGGGTTCTGTGATGGACCTGGGAGGTGAAAGAATTTTAAGAATGAATAATATAGATAGAAATTTAGTAATGTGTTCCTACTGATGCATTCGATTATCTTGGCAACGGCGAAAATTACGAGGTGCGTGACGTCACATCCGACCAGTCTCCTGCTCGAGCTACACGTCTCGGAAAAAACATGGCTGCCTCCACGAACATGCCAGTCAAACCACATTAAAAGCTTAATAATATTTTAGTAGTTTTACAGCGACAGTCTATTTGACAGGCAAACAAATTAAACAAACAGAAGACACTAAGAAGTCTCGTAAAAATACAGGTGTTGCATGCTTGGATACTGTTTATGGTACAGTATTCTCCAAATGCATCAGTTTAGATTTCTACCTATTACACTATTGACTGTAAGCCGCCATGTTGAAATGACGACATGGGAATCTCTCCGACATCAGCATCGGAAAAGACGCGTGTTTCCGACAGAAAGTGACATTTGCAACATGTTTTCATGACGTTTTTCTCTGACTAACGACTTGGAGAGAGAGAATCGAATGCAGGAAAAGCTACTTGTAGTAACTACACAAGATCCTTTCCAATCAAGTCTTTAAAAAAGAAAGACCCCCACATTTGCAGTGTGTGTATATAAGCAGACCCGATCAGGCAGAGTCCCTCTGAGTTAGTGACACTGAAGTACCAGGGGAACTATACACTGGCCTGAAAATAACCAGAGTGGCTCCCAGAGCGAATTCCAATAGTGGGCACTGCTCGGATCAGACATGTATAATCCCTTTATGGGGATTTAAGGTACAATCCTTCCGATACGGAAGAGAAAACCACAAGCTCCACAGAAGTAGCACTGCCAGGAATCAGATACAGGAAAAGACTTCATTTTCATGACAACCACTGGACATAATAATCACATCTTCTTAGAATACACCTCAACACAAACTGGCTCGCACCAGTACATGTCTGATCCATTTTGGTATTCTGGTTAGATACCTTGATCGCCATTCAGTCAGCAAGGTACCAGATGGGACTTGAACCTGCTAGCTTCTGGTCACAAGTCCAGTTCATGTGGACCACTGTTCATGGGCAAAGCAACACCATCTTGCTTCGAAATGACAGATGAACACAGATGTTTCCTGTAGAAACTACACTTGGCAGAGGAGGATTTTTCGGTTGTAAACATTATTGACAATTATGAAGAATAAGATGAGGTACTCAGCCAAGTTCTGGATGCCAGTGTAGAAACTGGCAGCCGTTACCAATAGAATGCCCCATCCAGAACAACAAATCCTCCAATCAGAGGAGGCCTGGGTCTCTTTAGCCAATGTCAGGTGCAAAGAAGTTAAGTTCAACTACTCAAACTGTGCCTCCCACATCTATGTGACACTCCGTGGCACGCCACAACAAACACCCAGGGATTTCTCAGAAACAATACTGGTTAAAAGACTTGATCAAGGACAAAAGGACCCCCCTCCAAAGCCTCTTTCCAAGTCCAACTCAGACCAAACAAAACGTCCAGTACACTTGCCCTGTACAAATCAACAAACATTTAGCCCTGAAGCGGAAACACAGAACATCACACAACCTTTCAATACTGCCTGATTGCCTGTGTGGTAGAAGAATTAAGCTCAGAGATTAACCTGAGTACAAAGGTTCCAATTTCTTCCCTATTGAGAGATAAAATTCAGTTTCATTGGTGCATGTAATCTGATGATACTAATTAAGGAAAACTTAATGAAACTTGCCTTTCACCTGAAAATTCAGATCGTTCATGCACCCACTGGTTTCATCTGTGCTGTCCATCTCGGGGTAATGAGAATAGGATCAATCAAATACAGTATTTTTAATCAATCTGGAAAAAACTGCTGTAAGTACCGGTGACAATAACCAAAATTGGTCAAAAGTGTGGCGAGTCTCTCTGCTCAAAGCAAACAACAGGATGAACATGGGAAGGAACAACGGCCATCAACTGCTGCTGCCAGATGGCTATTTTGCTGTACAATTCAATAAAAAGCCAAAAAGTCGGACACGTAACTGTCTTCAGTCTCTGGAGCCACCCGAGGACGCCACATATACAGCCCGCCGAGAAGCTGGGTGACAGCCAGGGATCTCTGCAGCTCTCAGAGAAGACATCAACCCTCAGTCCATAATAAACACCCCTCCGAAAAGGGGGCAGGGTAATTACCCCCTCATCAGACACGTGACAGCTACTATAAAACAAAACGTAGGCAAAGGACAGCAAATATGACAGGCATGCTTTTTAAAATGCCCATCGTTACGCATGAAAGGCATAAAAGTTTTTATAATTCCAACATAAACTGTCATGATGAAACAACGTGCCCATGATGTCACTCCGGCCAGGAGAAGTTCAGACTGTAATACCGAACAGAAGTTTGGGTGAATACCCGCTACCACCCGTTGTCTTATTTCTTGATAAGGCAAAAAAGTCAAACTCCGATGAGTGATCGCACCACGCAACCTTTCCGACTTGTTGCCGACCAAGACTGCTGCATTCTGCCGCCGTTTCCCCCCCGCACCGACCAACGTCCCCGGACCACATGAAAACTTTTACCAACCGCGACGTCGCACCCGTCGAAGGAAAACACGACCGAGACGGGACCTGCGAGCTCACGTCTGAGCCCAGTAACATCACGACGGCCTCGGTGTGTAAAAGTAGCCACGGGAGCGGCAGTCGCGCACTTTCGTGGCCCGCAAAAAGCTACTTTTACACACCGGGGCCGTCGGGCTGTTTCGTTTTTAACGTCACTTGGTCGTAACACATTTCGGTGTCAATCCAGCCGCAGACTCCGGTCTTACAGCAGTCAAATTTCACTGGCTGACAAAACCTTTACATTTAAAAGTAAATAACAGGAGCCGTCATGCGAATTAATAACGATATAAAGCGGTTTTACCGTTCGCGTAAGGCTGTCCTCCAGCTCCATTCTGAGAGTTGTACCCAGTAGTTGACATCTTGAAACTGACACCAAGGCAGAATAAAATGCGGGAGGAAACGACCGACAAAGTCCTTAAAACCGAGGCAAAAGATCTTATGGGCCGACTGACTGCTTTTAACTCGGTGGTCTGCGATGCTCGGCTAGTTCGTTAAAACAGAACCATGACTAGGGCCCTTCCCAGTCTTTCTTGGGCGCAGGCCTCGCCGAAAGTAATCGTGTAATCCTCCTCCGTCCTCATACAGGAAGTTGAAATCCCCCCCTGCACGAGCGAAGGGTCCTCCACACGCATGCGCAGTTATTACACGTGGCATTTCCTGTGTAATACGGCTTTGGGCATGTAGGAGAACCAGGGCTGGTGTGCTGCCACATGTGTACCGGATACATACGGCGTGAGCTCGGGTCATAATGAAAATGGATTAATTGGATTTAGTATAAAAGTAACCTCACCTTTATGTAAACCAAATGCCTGATAAAACAAAATCAAGTAAGCTGAATCTGCGGCCAAGTGTGTTTTATTGTTGGCAATATTTAATAAGATCTATCATTCAATATTCAGTAGAATCCAACATTTATATTTCAACTAATTTTGAAATATATCAACTCTAAATATTTCCAATTTTTCCATGCGATTACGGTTTACGTGATCGTGCTAAGGGTGTTTTCCCTCCGGAACGATTATTCTGAGACACACAGCGGAAGCGGTGGGTCGGCCATTGCTGTGTGTCGTGGCTCTGAAACAAAACACGGAGATAGAAAGGGAGAGGTGAAGCGTTTACTTTCGGCGGAAAAATCAGAGAGATTGTGTTGTCATTAAGAGCACAACTATTTATTTGTTCAGCGTGCCGATTACAGGTTAGTATTCAGCCACGATTTGATATTATTTGCTATGTTGGCATCCTCCTGTTTTAACTATCTTACCAAGCTAGCTAGTAAAGACAGGAAGCTGCATTTATATTCTCATTGGTCTTGCGTAATATTAGACTTTCTTCTTACATTTAATATTTGGGATTAAAAATACGTTTGACACTGCTGGCGAAGACAAGAGAAAAAAGTAGTTTTTTAGATTGATCTTCTGACAGTTACACGCTTGACGTTAGCTTGCTGTTGGCGGACTTTAACACCGACACGTATCGATGAAATCAGCCACTCGGTTGCGGTTAAATCGCCGAACGTACGCTGACACTTGTTTGTCTATAACAAGCATACATTAAGCATGGAAATTAGACTGTCTTTTAAATATGGATACAGCAATATCGCTCGATCCATTAAGATATCTCCGATCTACTTGCCTTGCCGGCTGGCTGACCGGCCACATACCGCGTCGCCAGATTTCAGCCGAAACCTGTCGGTTCATCACGTCAGGCGACGTTGTCTATGTCGTTTATTTTGTATACAGCTGTGATAACATAAGGTGTCTTTTCATCAAATCATGTTTTAAGATCTCGTGTTTGGTGTTAATTGTTAAAGGGTTTCTTTAAATTTTCCTTGCGCATTAACCTACTGGAGACCAGTACTACAGCATTTTACAATATGCCGGATTTGCTTTATTCATTCTCATTTATCGGATTGGGATTAATTTGATTTTAAGTCACGGTACACCACATTTGATTCAGATGTTTTTTTTAGTAACGTTTTTGTTTTTAATATTGATCAGTTACACTGTTAAGGCTTTGTTTTGACAGCTGTTCGTATGTTTCCTAACAAATAATGCGTACTTATCTTGGGAGTAACTAAATGACTGTAATTTGTGGTAGGATGGGAGAGTGATTGGGGTGGGTACCCTGCAGTGTTAGTGGATAGGTCTCCGTACACACGCAGATCCGATGCGCTTTAAAGCTCTGGATGGTTTCACTTCGCTTTGCCGAGCAGCGATTCTGTCGCTCCGGGGTCAAGGAAACGCTGAGAACTTGGCCAGCAGTCTTGGACTGGGACCAGTTCCATGCCATTTCCTGTCATAATGTGCGGTGGATTGTCACGTGCTTTTTAAAGTCCGCGTGACTTGACCCCCTGCGACACGTCAGGCGTGGATCTCCCAGCGCGAGGCGTGACGGACCTGTGCAGGCTGCTGACGTGTACGCGCTCTATTTGAACGCACCTCACCTTTGGCTTCTGGGTATTTCAGCTTGCGCGTTGTGCAACAAGCTGCGCCGGTTAGACTGGCGCCCAGTGGGGGGCTCCAGGGGGGGATTCAGGACGGATGCCGATTAACTACACTTAATGAATTTGTTTGAAAATTCAGATTTCTTGAGGGTGGGGTAAAGTATTGGGGAGGGGGTTCCACTTGTCTCAGTGTCACTGTGAAACTGCTCTGGAATGTAGTTGGGTTGTATTCTTCAGGAAATGTAGATACTTTCTTTATATTGGAGAGAAACTTTTGTATTGTGTGTGAACTGTTCTTTTACATTGTTTTGTCTGGCTATAGATTTTCACCAGCACTGATTTTTAGTACGATTTGCAGGGTGTCTGGCTTTTGTTGTTGTTTTTTTTTGTGTATTTTTTATGAATGCAGAAGTGTGATCTAAACATTTTATGTCGATTTGGTAACCATTCTGATCCACACAGAAAATTTCCTCGACGGACTTTGGTATGAACTGTATGAATGGCATTTACCTCAGTAGACCGTAAGGTTAGCAATCTGTAGCTCTATCTAGAAGGTCATGCGTTCAAATCCCGTGGTTCACAAAGTAGTTATTTCACGGTTGGGCCCTTGAGCAAGGTGGCCCAATGGGATTTTTAGCTGCTGACTCACTGTTTTCACACGTAACCACAGCACCTGCATGCCTATGCCACGGCCAACCTGCCGACAGCCATTTTCAACGTGCTTCTGTGAAAATCAGTTTGAACGGAGCAGTTAAAATAATCACCTGAAACTCAGTAGCGGTCCGCCAGGTTTCAGTTGATAAAGTCTCCAGAGCTCTGACAGCATTTTAATAACCGTTCCTCGACTGACAAGCGTCTGTCTACGATTGTTTCACAATTCTCGCTGTCGTTTTTTTGTTTTGTTTTCGCTTGAATTTTTATTGCGTTACTTTTTCCTAGACTGTCTGCCGTATTTGAATTTCATGATGCAACTCGACAATGCTCTTTAGCTAGCTAATTTGGCTTGTATTGTTTTTCTGCTTGCCTCCTTCTAGGATTCACAATAATCGGATATGTCCTTCATATTTGATTGGATTTACAGTGGTTTCAGTAGTGTATTGCAGTTTCTAGGTAAGCACCCGTCCGGAATATTTTTGTCTTGACGGCGACAGGTTGCACGGATTCGGCAGAATCAATCTCTCACGCCACAGCATCCTCTGTGTCAGCATCTGTCCGTATACGTGTGAACTTCAGGATGCCCTAGAGGCTTAAATCACAACTGTGTAGTTTTGTGATTTGCATTATTGTTGTTGCTCCATTTGCCTCTCTTTAAAAATGCTTTTGAATTTAGTTTTCGCTAAAGCCGTCAAAGATTCTTCTCCGACTTGATGTGTTAAATGTTCACCGCCTCTCGCCCAGACGTGTCCTGACACCCATGTAATTAATCTCTGCCATGGTTCCTGTAGTTTTCCTTGTGTCTCAGCTCCGTGGTCATGTGATCGCTTGTACGGCGCTGAGGCAGAAGGGGAGTTGGGGGGACGGGCTTGTAATGTCCCGCCTGATTGGTTAACCGTCTATTGTGACGTCGCCCTTTTGCTCTTTCTCAAGGACTGTACAAGAAATCAGGAAAGTTAGTGTTTCTAGGCCTGGACAATGCGGGAAAGACGACTCTGCTGCACATGTTAAAGGATGACAGGCTTGGACAGCATGTGCCCACTTTGCACCCAAGTAAGTCCATCTTCCTGTTGAGCTCTTGACCTTTTACCCCTCATGCATTAAATAGCCATTATTTTTCAGGTAGTCAGGAGGAGAACTGGGGAGAGTAGGGAGACCTCTAGTGTTTGGATCTGAGTATATATTATTAATAATTGTTAGCTCCTGGGAGTTTTACTTACACTTTATACTTTACACAAAATGTTCTGAGGGCAGAAGGGAAAGTGATTGGTTCAGAGAGACAACCAATCAGATTGTAGAGGAGGTGGGCCCAAGTAGCTAGAGGAGGCGGGACCAAACAGTCAGACTTCTTGGTCCCGCCATCTCTAGCTACTTGACCCACCTCCTCTACAATCTGATTGGTTGTCTCTCTGAACCAATCACTTTTCCTTTTGCCCTCAGAACATTTTTGCGTAAATAAAACTGCCATGAGCTAAGTGCTATTCATTTTCTAGTGAAGATTTCTTTGAATTAATTCAAAAGCTGCACTGTAAACACCCCTAGACAGTCTGTCAGTGACGCAGGACAGGGGACGGTGGCGAGAAGGTGGGACGCCACCTGTCCTGGGTCAGTGACAGACTGTCTAGGGGTGTTTACAGTGCAGCTTTTGAATTCATTGAGTCCAGCCGGGTGATTGTGGCCCCCCCAGGCATTCATCCTCCAGTGAAGAATAAACATTTGTCGATACTGTTCTTTGCTGCGGAATGAAACTTGGAGGCTGGTTTTTTAATTTTCTCTTAGTGACGATATCGTTATATTCCTGCACTGGGCGGTGTTGCGTTCTTTTTGTTTTATTGCACTCCAGTTCTGGTGTCTGGGGAGAGTTTTTTTTTATATATATATAAACTGACGAGCACCTGTCAGGCTTGCAAGTTTATTTTTTTAAGGACCAGGTAGCAGTTAGATGTTTCTGGATATAATCCCGAATGCTGTGGCTCCCCCCCCAGCTTCCGAGGAGCTGACGATTGCCGGTATGACCTTCACCACCTTTGACCTCGGAGGCCACGCACAAGGTGAGTGTCGTTCCTGTGGCTCAGCAAGTAGAGTATTGCACTCACGGTGCGAAGGATGTGGGTTCAAATCCCAGGGAACAAATTGTAACAGTTTCTTCTACTGTAAGTCCCTTTGGATAAAAGCACCCCCCCCCCCCAAAATCTCACCAGTGTCATGTCTGTATCCAGCCCGCAGAGTGTGGAAAAACTACCTCCCAGCCATCAATGGCATTGTCTTCCTGGTCGACTGCGCTGACCTCTCCAGGCTGTTGGAGTCTAAGGCAGAACTGGACGTGAGTCTCGTCAGCGTGCAGTATGGCGGATCTCGGGCTCATTCTGGACCGAACCGGTCGCAGCGTCCCGGTCTGAGTGAGGTTTCCGTAACGGAGACGTTCCTGCTCGTTTCCGCGCAGGCTCTGATGACAGACGAGACCATCGGGCACGTTCCCATCCTAATCCTTGGAAACAAGATCGACAGGCCAGAAGCCCTTGGCGAGGAGAAGCTGCGGGAGGCCTTTGGGCTTTATGGCCAGACCACCGGCAAGGTGAGATACATTGGCTCTGTCCCGACAGCGCCCCCTACCTGTTGGGTGTGAACGTACCTTTGTATCCTTAATAAGGTGTCTGTGTCTTTTGACCCTTGAAATTCAAAGTAGACTTATATAGATGTAGAATACTTGTATGTATATATACAGTTCTGTGCAAAAGTCTTAGTCAAGGGAAATTGTTTAAATGATCTTCATGTGGGTGTAAAATTATGATGTCTATGCGTTTCCACTAACCATCCAATACACACAATGGCTGGGCTGCCCCTGAGCAGAGGTTTGGGAACTGAAGCGATGTTCATCTAGCCGTCCAACTAGATATCAGTACCTTTTTTGAGAACTCAATAAATTCTTCTTAATTTTTATCGTGTTACTCTTAATTTGCATATGTGCTAATGATAAATTATGTTTTCTTTTTAGAGCAGATAAACGCCACCCAGATAAATAGCTTTAAACATTTTCTTTGACTACTTAACACTTTTGCACAATTATTGTAAGTTACTTGAGTATTCATCATATAATAGTTATTGATTTTATTTCCAACGTAGTCAGAGTGATGGAAATCACTCGCTCATTTCCTTCCCCGAGTAGCCGTGACGTCAGACACAGTCGATCCTATCTTCCTTATCAAAGCAGCGGGACGCTGCTGTGCTCTCCGCTCAGATCTCCGCCGTCCTCTCGCTCGATTGCAGCACGTTGATTTTAAACTCATTTACTGAGAGTAAATAAGCCCAACAGTGTGATAAGCCAGAGTTCACTTTCACTGCTGGTCCCGTCTTTCCTTGAAAGCTAATCAAGCTAGAGAAACGGCTTCCCTATTACCACCATGAGTCCACAGGATAAACATGAACTATATAAGCTTTAATGATCATTTTTTTCTAATAGTGACGTACTTTTTGTTTTTTAACCGCCACGCCCCCTGCTGACCGTCTGCTGTACTTTCATACAGGGCAGCATTCCCATGAAGGAGCTGAACACCAGGCCCCTGGAGGTGTTCATGTGCAGCGTGCTGAAGCGGCAGGGATATGGGGAAGGCTTCCGCTGGCTGTCCCAGTACATCGACTAGCCCCTGCCCCCCCCCTCCCCCCCCACGGGCCCCTGCCCCCTCTCCTCGTCCCATGTCTGGTTATAACATCTGCCTCCGCTGTCAGAATGCGTAGAACTGGAATCCAAAGGACTGTATCCGTTGAACTTTTTATTATTATTATTATTATTATTATTATTATCTTTGGTTACGCGACTTTAAATACTAGCCGGGGGCGAATAGTGACATCGACGCCACAGAAAATGGTAAAAATAAGCAGCTGTGGCGTCTTTAATTTGCCTTTCTGTCCCCCAATAGCTCAGTGGTACCCGGGGGGGGGG